CCATCCGGTTCCAGTGATAAACATACACGTAGCAAAATATCGTTTATCGTAGAATATACATACCTACTTTGTGTCTTTTCAACGGAATTATGGACTAAATTACTTAGGATGGTCGTTTCCTTGCCTTCGACTTGCCACAGAGGGCGATGGTATATTGATAATTTGCTTTGTTTCTGTATTTCTGTACTGACAGAATTGGACCTTAGACTAGAATTGAGCTTATTTTCAGCTGGTACAATTGTATATTGTGACGCGTAAAATATTGACATTTTTCTAAAGCAACTGAAGGAATTATATATAATATGACATTCGTTTGACAAGAACAGTTCATGATTCTTTAGTCTTCAATATTAAATCCTGCTGAAATGTATCAGTGCTACATGTTTAGGGATTATAATCGTGGATCGAAAGATCATTTCTTATTAGGCGTAGGTCAAGGTTTGTATGTGGGTTTATCTGGGTTAGCTAGCAGTTTTATTCCCATTATTCATAACTACCTGTAATCCCAATAGTGCATGGAGAGAGGCCTAATGCAGGACTTTTCTGATGATAGTTATTGGTAGTCTCTTCAATAGGCCACATAAACGCCATTTCAACCATAGCCGCTGTCGAGAGACCATTTCGGATAGCGGTTCACCGGTATCAGCATACAGCGTTAACCGTCACGTTAACGTTAGATCTCCCTATTTGTTCGAGGATTCTTAGTGATGGTACATAAAACTGGCTCAATGCAGATGGAGTGCTCGCCGACGAGGGACCCAAAACAACTTTAAACACCCGGATTACAAGGTGCATATTTCCGCCTTAGTACCACCGACTACATTTCGACGATTGAACAGACCTGGTGCAATGGCAGCGGGTCCTACAACACAATACAGCTTATGCCTAGCTCGACCATGTCCTTAAACGAGACAATACTGCAGCTCATCCTCAATAAGAAGGGCAAGTGCGGCCAGTCAGTGCTGACTGGTACACTAGACCCGCACATACAGCTGATTTAACGTCACTGAGGAATCGCAAAGCGCGTAATCGCTCGACGGACGTAAGGGTAGCGGGTGGTCGGTTAACAGTCAAGGTATATTTAAAATTTATGCAGTCGTCCGCTTCTAACTTTACCACTCGAATGGGTCGAAACGGTCAAGTAAGTTCCGAACGTTGCCAGTGTATCATTGGCACTCTAAGCGCCATGAAATGAAAACTGCTGGCCGCACAAAGCCAGCAAAGTAATGCCAATGCAAGCATACGAATATACGTAGTATTTACTATTATAAACTATGAAGCAGCAGCGGCAGGGGTGGCGACGAGCGACACACCGTTGAATTCTAGGTTCGTAGCCAAGATCCCTTGGCAAGACCCTGAACAGGTTCCTATCTGTCTGACTAAGCCAAGCATAGGAAGCCCTGAAAAGGGAATTAAGTGAGCTAAACGAATAGATTATATACATTTGTGCTGTAAGCACGCTATAAGCGGTGTGCATGTAAAGAGTTCGTAGATCTTCACGTTGAGATTCGCTCGCTGTAGGCGGTTCCTTTGCACTAATACAGCTGCGGTCTGCCGTTCGCCTTGTATTATACAATATATTAGGTAACAGGCACCGCGACAAGGAACGAACAGGAGTGGACAAAGATAAGATAGCACTGCTGAAGGAATTACATGGCGGCCGGATCAAAGCTTGCAGGCCGGGAAAGAATGAAAGTAAGCTAGTGGCTATGGACCACAGATGCTGTAGGGCGTATCTAAATATGCCATGAATCTTGCCATCTTGGAATTGTGTGGCCTACAAAACAACAGCAGCAGCGTACAACCATGGGCCAATAGAACCCTTTAAGGGGGCTTCGCTGACAAGGCACATTTTCTGCCTCACTATGACTACAGCAACCTGTCTTATGTGGCGCTATGTAACGGTACTGGTTCATGTGGGATTAAGGTTGCCACATTAGAAACACAACAAATGAAGTGAGATAAAAGAGTGCGTTAGAGCGCGAAGGAGGGTAGACAAAGGTAAATCAGCGGCAATCGTGATCAGAAAGGAGATTAGGCAACAAAGCTGAGCAACCGGCTTATACGAAAAAAAATAAGCATAGAGCTCTATGGAGGTAAAGAGCAAATGAGTATAGATTTGGACAGTTGCTCCTGTTCAATCTAACGGAATTGTGCGTCGATGCTGATATAATTGCCCCTGAACTAGTCATAGTAGCGGGTTTCTACGAGCGCGAAGGAGACTTGCCCTGTTGGGCTACAGCTGTAACTGACTGAGCCGTGACACCCACAAACTGAGGAAATAAAACCCAGATTGACCTGATAATTGCCAATGAGGTCATGCTAGGTTTCATAGAATACGATCCACGCAGGCATCGGTTCGTGGTCCTATGAATTGTCATATGGACGTGAGCGAATGTAATGAACACGCCTATAATAAGGTTACGGGGGGTAAGAGCGCTTTATCAGACTTCAGAGGCATTGTATCACACAACTGATGTTCCTCTTGTTGCCAGGTACCGAACGCTGTACGGTGGAATAATTTCCGACATTTCAACTTTGCCTTATGTAGATGTTTAAATTACCTAGCTTTTTTAAGGCTATATTTTTACAAAAATTAACTGATACTAACACATAGATATTTGCATGTTGTTGAAATTTTGCCGCGATAACTTGGTTCTTAAGATAACATGTCTAACGATTCTCAAATTCATCGAAAGCCTTTGTGATAATACCTCAAACGAAATATAAAAAAGCCACATTCGAATACTAATATATTTATTGCAATGATAAACAAGATTTCTGTGGATGGATTGTGTAGATTTTATTTATTTCCAAACATACCATCTCAGTTAGCCCTGTTTTCACAGGAGGAAATCACGCACGAAACACAACGGCCTTGTATAAATTCAGAGGTCAGAGCAGAGTTCCAAATTTAAGATTCCGGTAGATAGCTTCTCTGTTGGCTAAATATGACTATTCGCTTACCAGCTTTCCTCTGTTTCTTAACTAGTAGTATTTGTACGTATTTGCTTTTACGCAACATACTTATTGTTATTCTGATACTCCCGCAAATGTACAGACTAAAAGCCGGATCCGCAAATGTACAGGCTAAAAGCCGGATGAAGACATTTCTTTAACCCGACGACCCATTTACGTACCAGTCAAGAAACTTTCCAGACTTTAATTACCAGATGAATTATGAAGGAAAGTTTATGAAAGAAGGACGCTACGTTGTGTCATATTATCCGGTTTGAGAGTAATTGATTTTCCCGTTCGGAACAATATGAGTATATGCCTCATACAGGTTCGATTGTTACTTTACTTTCATCTAAATTACGATAGTAGCGTTTTAGACGAAGTTTGTTCGTACTGGAAAAACTATAAGTTATACGTTAATCTCTTAAAAATCGAGCCAAAAGTAACACTGATTAGATGAGTCCGTCCATTTCCTTAATTAGCCAAAGAACGTCACGTGCTCGGTTTTACTGCAGCCACTAAGTAAACGATATCAAACTAATGTCTAGTAGAAACCTTTTTTAGACGTATGTATAGTAGCCTTCTAGAGACGTGCGGACTTAGACAGCAGATATTAGGTTGAGCGGAAGTCCTGCGACGGCTGCAAGGCTTGACGCAAGACCAGTATTAATAGTCAGACAAGGGATCAGAATAGTTCGAGAATCATCTCTATCGAAAACAGTGATCTCTGCTGATTTGGTAGCTGTCCACCCGGCGGCCAGCCTAGCCTCAACTAAACCCCAGCTCTATCCTGACATGCCCATCATGCCGTGTTGACAGACGAAGGTAGGGAATAGTTATGTGATAGCAATGTTCTGTCTCTGATGCTACTGCTAGTGTAGATAACGTTGCTTATATTTGCCTTCATCAATTGGACGTAGGGAATCGGAAGACGGAGGGGAAAACGAGAACGTTACATCGGCCAACATCAAATTCCGTCGTCATTAAAGAAAGTACCTGTACTGCACACACTTCCTCGTTACCGGTTACAGGCATCTGATTCTAGCACAAATTCACTTGTCCCTCTTTTATGCATGTAAGGAATAGTCCTATTCTTGTCCCGAAAAAGCTGGGAAATAGCGTCCTAGTTTGAAGAACACCTCACAAAATCGTTGCTGCGGAGCCCGCGTCTCTCTACACGAAACGATGTGCACCTATACATATCCAGTCTGGAACCTGGATCAAGTCACGCAAGGGAACACGTGTACACTACACTGTCAAAGTTCTAAGCGCCATATAATGCGTTTGCAATTGACTTAACCATAACCATCAACAATAAACATTTATGCGCTTAAAGCTATGAATCCTTTTGCTCGGCCTGCTGATAAGGCATCGGTAAGTGGATGATTAAGCCCATCTAAGGTTATCTACTAGTACGAAGCTTGGCACGAATCTTCTAAGGAATGGGTTTGTTACGGAAGGGTATTATTCAAGCGAAAGACCATTTCAAACGAAATGATTGTTTTGACGGTTGATAAGATAACACTTATATTATGATATAAATAATCATTCCATTAAGGGGTTGACTTCGTTTCGATTCTAGCGGTCGGTGAAATACAACATTAATGCAATTGGATTTTTTTTATTCTCTGTGTTAACGTATGCAGAATGATTCCGCTAACAATGTTGGATTTAGATGTAAAGACGCTTCATTGACCAGACATGAATGGGATAGAATGTACTTTTCGCTTTTCGAAGATAGGCCTATTAAGCAAATTGAATACAACAACGGCTAACGATTCGTACCTTTCCTTTTTCTAGATACTAATACATTCAAGCTTATACGGCGTATTTATAAAATATAAACGCGTATTTACAGTTTTAGAAACCAAACAATATATGATCAAGACGACAAAGCTGAATCAGCTGTTTTGTCTGCTATTATGGTTATTGCTGTTGTTGTCGTTATTATTGTCCATCGGGATAAATATAGCAGAAAAAAAACTACGGAACTCATTGGTGTCCTAAAATAATTCTTGTAGAGATGCAGGTGCCGATCAGTTTCAGCTTCTAGAAGACAGAACTATCTGATCAATGTTGTTCTTCATTATTCAGTTGCCGCTGACGCGTTTAAAACTTTAATCCGCATATTTAAGTGAGTAAGTGAAATTAAGCGTTACTTACTTTCGTAACTGCTGCTGGTATGATAACGGTGCGTCATCTTTTCATTAGTAAAACACAATTTTCTGGCTTTCCACTGAGTTCGCTAATATTCCGAATAGGAATAATCTGAACGCAAAAACAATAGCTTAGGTCTATGACGTAGGACAAAAATATCCGTTAGATTAATGCCAATAATGATATTATGAAATTTTGTGACATCTGTAAGCAAGAAATAATGCGGACTTCAATTGAAGGCGCAAAAAAAGTGTGCGCTAGCTTCTTAGATACTGGATGTGTGTCTGTGTAGCGATAGAAACTACGCGTCTTCCATTTTTGTGTTTCTTTTCATAGATTTATTCATTAGATACGTGAAAATAACAACCCAACACATAGATAGGAAGTGTATCATCTTCCATATATCATTTCACTCGAAGTTAAACTCTAATTTCACTCTAAAAACGAGATCACTTATTTGGATAAAATTTAGAAATTAAATCGAAATAAGTGATATCAGCATTCGGTAAAGCTGTTCGTGTATCGCACGGATTAAAATCTAGTGAAATAGTGTAACTGTTTAAAGCAGTCTTTTAGGAACCGCGTTCATCAGCGTTTGACTAGCCCGACGCAAATATTCTGCCGACGAAAATTATCGTCGTTTATCGAAATATACCGAAGAGGAACATCGTAGCGGTGTAATCCTCCTCAAGATGGGTCGGTCCTACGCTATTGTAGTTCAAGGCGCCCAAATTTAGGTCCACGCTGATTTCACACTGCGAAATCTTAGAAAGCTTCGATTTCAGCTGCAAACGCCACCTTAATATAAACCGAAACCATTTGGGTACTGAAGTCGTCCGCGGAGTAATATAAAACAAAGCTGCTTTCATAGCCGTGATTCGGAACCGGCAACGAGTTCTCATCTATGAGATGTACTATTTTTCGCCTAGAGGGGAGATCGCAACTTATCATAACAGTGATCAATTTGTGTGAGTTATTAATGATTATGCGCAATAAGCAATTATCAAAACCTTATGAAATATAGAAGACAATGCAAAAAAATATCAAACAGAAGTGCTATATGTTTACAACATACAGGTAAACACCTTTCACTAATGAATAAGGTAATAATTGCTCTGGGGCATTTTGCAGTTTGTCTGCTATGCAAGAACTAATTTGCCCCTGACGAGCTTCTGCTTGCTAGACTGGACACGCACGACGGGGCTAGTATGACTGGGGAAACAAGTGTCATGGCTGCATGACATATCACGATCGAGGGGCAGCAACAGCAGATATGAGATGAAGTTGGATAAATGAGGCGCTTGCGGTTAGACCCGTGAGACCACTTGGTGAGGCGAATTGGGTCAGGGTAAAAGCTTAGTCTCTTCTTCTGGTTCAACTATCGAGCGGCAGAGTAGTCGGGGGGGGGGGGGGGGGCATACGGGATGGCGTGGTAAATTTTATTGCACTTCCCGTTAGTTGTAAATTGTCAGGTGTAGTAAAACGACTAAGGAAATCATTTAAACGCACTTCGTTCAGTTACCTTCGAGATTACCCATCGGGTGGATTTGGAAGGTAGCTGGCTTCTTCACAGGCAACACCCTTTGAAGAAAAGGCATATGTAACAAACGAGCGAAACCGACAGCCAGTGGTTGTTCCGCGTGGCAAACTAAGGCAGCAATACGGAAATTTATGCAATGGAGCACAGGAAGTCTGCAGTTAGTGACAGGTATCGTGTGCCGATATGTATTACACGGTCGATCGAAAGTACGTGCCATGGCAAATCAATGGTATACTTTGAAAATCTCGTAACAAGCACACCTTTCAGTTGGCTGACTCGAAACCACAAGAACTGCATGAACTTCGAATATATAGAACTTACCGAAACGAAAGCGAAGATAGCATTCGAGCCATGGGTCTGGAGCAGACTGCCCAGAACGGACTGGACGGTCCATTCATACGCATTTTTGCCTGTCACTAGGGTCACACGGTTGGTCGTCAGCAGTTAGCGCCCCTGCCGCGTGCGAAGCAGATGTCCGTATGGGTACTTTTCCCTTACGGTAACAGCGGACTAGTCTCTAGAGCGTGAGAGCTTTCAGAGCCAAGTCTTGTGGGAGGGTAACTGGCGTTAGAATGACAAACGTCTAGCCGCCAGCTACAACGCGTCCACAACTTTCCCTATTTGACTTTGGTTTGCCGCGGACAATTTAAGCTTGGAAAGTGAAGGTAGAAGGCGGAAAAGGTCTGCGTGGTAGGAGAACGAAAGCAGCAAAATCATAGGTCGTACGAATTGAAATAGTAGGAACATAGCCATCGCTATGCTTTTGATTAACATGAAACGATTCGCCATTTTGGTAAGAGTCTACAGGAGCACCCTTTGAGACGTACGTGAGTTTACTATCGAACGATGCGTTTTAGATGTTCCCGACAACTCTAAGCAACTTTCCTACACAATACCCATTTTCGTTGTTTTAATTTTTTGCTGAATTTGGCAGAGAACACGAGATGTTGAACGAACAGTGACTAGATAAACTGAGCATAAAATAGCTAAAATTATCGAAATAATAATATTGTCCTGATGGCTCTGAGGAACTAGCCAATTGAAGCAACTAATTTTAGCGGATTCTTGTGTGTATAGGTTTTTATCCTACTAGAACAAATTGCCAAGGCACGAGTATATATATGTATCCATCATTTTAGTCATCCTAATTGCTTTAAGACATGTTTAGATCCGTTTAACATAAACACCGACTGGCACAAACTTCTGTTTTCAATAAAAAAGAAGTTTTTAAAATTAAACTATTTATCGCCACCATGAAATGCCTTCGTAAAGCGAAAAATAATGGTATGTTACTAAACAATGGCAATTAAATTGTGGTGCCAATCTCTTTGTCAGGATTTCTTAGTATTCTTAACACTAAATCTATCGATTTATATTCTCTTATATGCCTGTTCCTACAGTACCCATGGTAGTAAAAATTAAACTTTTACTATGAAATAAACGAAAATGCATGGTTGCAATATATACAAAAGACAATTTTTTCAACACCTATTTCCATATCGGTTATTATCAGTTATTATTAATATTATGTTTACGTTAATATCGCATTGATATCACTTATCTGAACGCTATTTATTCGAAATGTAAACTGTCCACGAAAAAATATACCTTTTTTTTACTTATATGCCCGGCGACATGAATGCGCTCTCTGCTCTGTAAATGTAAAGCCTATTTTCATTGAAACTTGACATGATGATCTTCTGATGAAAGAGACCAACGACACAACGGTTCTATATAGCGAACCTGTGTTTTGTCTATGATATTCGTGCGCTGGATGCAAGCTACTAATAACTGCGTGGCCTCAAGTACGTGACAGGATGTTCCCTAGTCCGCAGGCAGCTTGGACCAATTAACGCTAGACGCCATCAAAAGGCGATGCAACGTTCTTGCAACTGGCTGCTTCCATTGTCACCAAGGCTGAAAGGTTGTAACGTTCTACCTAACAGGCATAGATAGGGGCAAGCAGGGCCTCACTACCACAAGCTGTCCCGACGGCATGCAGCGTATGAGCTAAACTGTCCTTGCTAGCTGTGCTTTTCTCTGAGATTACACAAATAGAAAACCAAGTTAGATAGAGAGAACATCGTATTGCCCTTACTCAACGACTAGCAGGTGTAACTGCCGTCTTATCGCATGCGTCGATTACTTCAGTAACGGGGTGCTGAAGCAGCTGCCTGCTGGGAAAGGGCGACAAAGACACGGTAAAAGGTAGGCCGTCGGGGCTGGCCATTGAAGATGACACACCTGCACGCAGAATTTGCTGGTCGCTATAGCTTTAGTGCTGCCACTCATCGTCGAAAGGCGCCCGCTCGGGAAAAGCAACTTGGAGAATGGCTTCTGGTGGCATTGTACACAGCTTACGCTAACAGCTCTTGAACTTTGAGAGATGTCACGTAAACCTGCACAAGAACTTGGTCAGGGTACGTAATATCTTGCCTTGCCTAAATGTCTGGCACGTTCAGTTCAGATTCGCCGTCAGCCAACATTGTTGGCTGCCTTGCTCCGTAACTCCCTTGTCTCTAAACTGTCCGTTATTTAAATCTGCACCGTTTGCGCGCCTTAGCTTGGCTCGTCCATGTAGTTAGCAAGAATCTCTGCTTATTATCTAAGCAGTTGTGGCGGTTTGGCCGTCATCACCCATCACCTGGCGAGCTTTGCAGGATTAAACCCATCCTGAACGTTGGCGTGGCGTCCACTTAAGGACTATCCTATAGCGAACCAGTTATGGGATCGGCTTGTACAAAAAGCAGCACCTCGTGGCCAAGGTACCGAGAAATCATCTTTTGCTCGCTTGAAGTCAGAACACGCACACCTAAGACCTTCGTCTTAACTCTATATGTATCGAGTTTCTCTCTCTCTCGCCCTTTCTGATAT